CCCCCCCGCCCCAGACGCGTCACCCAAACGGTGGGATTCGCACGAATGGAGTCTTCAGCTGAAAAAAAAGCACGTACCAAAAACACATACAAAGCAATTGGACTCCGAAAAATGGTCGCTGGCGCGCCGGAAGCGCCCAAACGCCCCGGCGCCGCTTTCGGAGAAAGTGTCAGGATGAGAGCCTAAGCAGCCTAAGCGCACTAAGTGAAGTCGGGATGGACGATTCGGTGACCCAAGTGTTGGACCAGGCGGGGGCAGCGGTGGACAGAAGCGAGGGAGCGAGGGAGCGAATACGTCGTGGCCCACCACCGACCTGTTTGGTATTCGTCGAATAGCCATCCTTTCGGGGTGCCGTTATACTACGTGTCTCAAATGGGTCATTTTCTTGAGCACGAGCTATGTTAGTGACATGAGGATCATGAGGAAGGCATATTTTGGTTTAAAGGGCGTCAGTTATACATATAGTTTTGCTGTTGGCAAGACCAGGCCTATGACCAGAAAGACACGTGCGCACAATAGAACTTCGAGGTGTCTTGCTTGTAGGGGCGTGTTGCTTGTGTGGGCGGAGGGTGTGTAGCATAGCTGCGGCTATGCCACATTGACATCGAACATTGGGAAGTTGCAACTCAAAGCAGGGGTGAGAACAGAGAAACTTCCACCCACAGTCTCACCTGTATATAGTTACGTACAAGAACATAGTGTCAGTGTAAGTCTCACCTGTAGTTGCATCTCAGCCTCCCATTGGCCATGGAATGAGAGGTGAGACTTACACTCTGACATACTCCGACGAGCACATCACCACGGAATTGGAGTGAGTGAAGATCCCCACTGTAAAGGAAAGTGGTCTTCCTTTCAGGACCATGCCATGCACTTCCATGTTGGTGAGTCAGAGTGTAAGGCAATGTAAGGCAATGTAAGGCACTTCATTGTTCTGAAGATAACCACAGCCACACACCCACAAATCTTGGGGCTGGTTCAAACCTATACAGAATCCTTCCTATAACGTGATCTAAAAAGAACGTCGTCAGAAAAGTCGACCGGAGAGAGATCTGCCTCATTCCCAACAGAAATCAAAACACGATCCTCGTCCTGTTCGCCTCTTCGAACCCCTCCTCGCCGCGACCGGAACCGCAACGACCTTTTGAACGCGTGGGACGCATGTTGATCGGGCCAGGCTCGGGAATGCGCGGTGGAGAAGGTGGTGTGCCCCATTTGCCACTCGGTCCGGACGACGTCCGGTCAACGGGTTTGGACGTGAGAGAACGTACCGCTGTAGGCACTGGCACTCGGTGACGGTACCTGCGACGACCTGTTGGAGATACATGTGAAAGCAGAATTCGCTTCAAAGACGTGTGAATAAACATGAATAGATCCAAGAGGGCTGGATGGCTGGTTGATGGCTGGTTTGTTGGGGGGGAAAGAAGCAGGCCGGCCTTCCTATTTTGGTCCAACTGCGTGCCGTGCAGCTGATGAACTTGCTGGCGCCTTGAATCCATGCCGAAACCCACTTCGTTTGGGATCCGGCATTCTCGGGTGACCCGAGCTGAAGGCTTCAGGCTTCTCCAGGTGACCTGAAACAGCACCGGGCCCCAGAAACTGGAACAAGCATCGTATACTTGTAGCATCTTGTAACTGCACGTTTTCCAGTGTGAGGGCCCTGGTGTGCATGTTTTTTCAACCTATCCCGGGTCACTCACAGGGACGAACAAGCTCAGACTCGACCGCTTCGGTACTCAGCCCCGTAGTCCTCGCGCGTTCCAGGTTTCGAAGCACTCAGCGACCTCCCGAACCAGGTGCCGCGGGGTGAAGAATTGGTGCAATGGGAGAACCATGGAGAACCAATGGCCGGCCTACGCAATTTTTGGGATCCGATAGGCAAAGTGCAAACGTGTGTATGTACATGTGTGATGCTTTCGAAGAAATGACTTCAACATACTTTAACATAGTATAGGAGGTGGCTGCCCTCAAAAAGTGCTTTGAACCCTTTAAATCGCTATCTCATTGCAAATGTGAGGGACTGCTCTCTAGTATCAAGCTCCCACAAAAAAAGAAGTCCTCCTCAAGTATTATGACATGAAAGCACCCATGCCCTAGATAGAAGGCTCTTCACAAGCCAACACTTCTGGAAACGTGGGCCATGGGCCAATTCCGTTCCAACAAGGGTTGTCGACCAAGGACCGGCGCCAGTTCCTGGTCCTTGTGACTCCTGGTCCTTCTTGTCCTTCTTCACAGCTAATCTCATGCCCCAACACCATGTAGCTTGCTCCGATCGGGCGCAACCATATATCATTATCAAGATCCGAAAGTGTTTACCCTCAAAGCAACGCTCACTTCGCATGCAAGCTGAAGCGTTTCGAATCATGTTTTTTTTCTACGGGGCTTAACGGTGAACCATTGGTACATGAGTTTTCAAATCGTATGCGGTACCTGAGTTTTCTTGTTCAAATCGGTTGGGGGATGTTGGGGGCGAACATATGTCCATGTCCATCGAGGATTCCCCTCTCGCCAGATTCAGATTGTCTTCCCGACTCTACGATGTCCGACATTGGCATCTTACACAACGTACCTTTGAAATTCAAGCCGCCGTACCATCCCGACGGTCTGGTCACAGTGCCCATGACCCATTGTAAAGTTCGGTATAGTCCACAGATGACAATTGACGATACGAAACATGTAAGCAGTTTGGCTTTGTGCCGGACCTGGTGGTGGCATGAATCCGTGAATTCATCATTCCATGAAGATGTTGTTCTTCTCTTAGGGACACATTCAGGTAGATCGAAGGGCCGTGGGATGCGCCGCGTAGGTCTTCTCGCCGGCGTATCGCCGGTAGGTCGTGCCCAAAGTATCCTGGTTTTAACCCACAGCCAGCTGATTCCAGCAGTCCCATGTTGAGAGAATCCTCGGAGTGGCGGAGCCGGGGCCCAGACTGACTCCCCGACGACAACCTTGAGGTCTTTCACAGGACTTGAAAAACAACAGTATATATATATATTATATAGTTGTGTGACACTGTTGTTATACGATGTCATGTTGCTATCCTGAGTTTCATCAGTTATACTCTGATGCTGGCTTTTTCATCCTCGTTTCACCCACCTGGTGATGTCTTGGTCTTGAGGTCTCCCCTTCATTTGCTGCCAGGAACCAATCAAGAACAAGCTTTCCTTTTTGCGCGTCGAACCTTGCGCGAGCCGCACCCGCGAGAGCTCGCTCTCGCACAGGTTGGAGCTCTCACTTTTGAAGGCAAGCGAGTCGAAAGTGCGCTCTACCACCATGACTGTGCAGCTTGACGCACGAGCACGACTCGTCTGCTGCGTCCCACATCTGGGAGCGGGAGTTGGGCGTTGGGCGCAGGAGTCTCATCACTGAAATTGTAAGACTGATAGAGAGCGGGGGACTGTGAGAGTGCAGTTTTTTTCTTAAAAAGTGTTTGGTATCATTCGATGCTAAAGATATGCAAAGATGCTGGTTTCACCCTAGGGCAGAAGATACCACTCTACTCTAACATGGGGCCTGGGTGTTGGTTTTCCCAAAATTTTAGGTAAATGCTTCAGTGGTAGCCCCTCTCCATATAAACACATATACATAATCTATTCCTGCTCTCTCTATATGAACAAATATATTATGTATTCCTGAATGAGGGTCATTTTATTGTTTTGGAAGCAGCAAACAGTCATTCAGATGGTTTTGAACAAAATAATTAGGAAAGAAGCAGGCCATAAAAGTGTCTCTAGATCTCTGCTTATAATTATGTTTAGATTTGGAAATATTTTGTATAGACGCTTTTATGTTACAAGAGATTCTCTGTAGATCTCTGCAGATAGTCATTTCTAGATTTAAACAACTATATAGAAACCTTGTATGTTAAAAGCTCTATTCTAGATTTCTGCGGATAAGAGCTTGCATTTTCAAAGTTTTCCTTTGGATCTCTGGGAAAGTAGATATCCCTTATATGTGTGTTTTCATGAAATGAAAGCTCTTGAAAGAACAACATATTTATATATATAGCATGTTTAAATTGACATGACCATTTCCAGAGATCCAGAGGAAAGCTTTTGAAATGAAAGCTTTTATATATTTTTATTGTAGAAATGATTATCCCAGAGATCTAGAGGGAAGCTCTTGAATTAGAAGCTTGTACATAAAACAAGTTCAATAGGTCTATATAATTTCCAGTGATTACTGTAAATAAGCAAAATCCAACTATTTACTTCAATAAAGAGTTTTAGTCTTGTTCCCAGCACTCCCAGGGCAAAAAAGTATTGTAAAACACGGGGTTTTGTAGCATGTGTTTTCTTAAGCTAAATAGACTAGATCTAGAATAGAATTAGGTAGAATTAAATTTGATTTGAGTTAGAGCTAAGATAGAATTGAATTAAAACCGAATTTCAACTAAACTTGTACTGAACTATAACTATAACCTATTTAAAAATAAACGCGAGTTGAATTAGAAAGGAACTGGAATTAAAATTAGAAGTTCGCCAGAATAATATGTAAAACGCTTGAGCTTCAAGATGCACAAGTCGGGGATGCTTCGAAATTACAAAGCCGAAGCAAAAGCAACAAGCATTGAATTAGAACTACAGCTTACACAGATTATAACAATTTCATGTAAATTGGAAGGTCTCGTTACAGTTTCATGTTAAGCTGATTGGACATGCAATTGGCAACCACATTGATACCAATTAGAAGTGAATGCACAGACTTGTACATGGAGATTTCGACAAGGACAAAGGGAGTGGTGGGCTCAGACGCTTTCATTGTAAGAGCAAAGAGCATATGCGTTTAGGTGAGACTTAGGCTCACATACTTGAAGGTTGAACAAAATAGTAAGAACACAGATTGACCTAAATAGGAAAACAAAAAAACAAAAAAAACCTTGAGAAAACCAATAACAACCTAGGAAAAGCCAAAAAAACAACAAAAACTTGGGAAAACACCACGCAATTCTGGGGAAGTCTTGAGGAAAGGGGGGGGGTCTCTGAGAATTGTTTTTTGGTTTTCCCAAGTTGTTTTTTGTTTTTTTAAATGTTGTTTTGTATGATTTTCTTTTTGTTTTTTGTTTGTTTTCAATGTGTTTTGTTGTTTTCTCTATATTTTCTCGAGACTGTTTGTGTTTGTTTTCCAGTGCAAAGGACATTGAGGCAGCTTTCACGGACACATAGCATGAATGCAGGCCATAGTGGAAAGTTTATAGCACACAGATGGAAGTAGGTGAAGTAGGCAGCAAAAACACATAAAATACGCACTCTGGTGGTCCCCTGTTCTGTTACTAGTAGCTTCTTGTTACTATATAGTAATGCCAGGAGCTAAAAGTGTAGCTTACTTCTTGCCCTTTGTTACGTTCGTAGCTGACAGACGACTGGAGGGCCACTTGGTGCGGGCGGTAGACTGTGATAGTGATGCCGCGAGGATGCCATGAGGACCCACTCCTGCCACCGTTGACCAACGAAGACAGCGGTTGGAGGGCCAACCCAGCGGTTGCTGCGAACCGGTCGGGACGAAGATGTTCCCGTCTTGACCGCAATCAAAACAATGTTTAAAGGAGGATGTTGGGCGATGTTGAGGCAGTGCGTCTTTGAAGGCATGGCCTTTTCGAGGCTGAGTAAGGTGGTCTCCATCAACCACCCCTTGTAGGTCCTGGCACAGTTTCTAGATGCGGCGCCCTCCATACCAACAGTGGAACACCCCGGATTTGGGAGCATCTACTCCAACCAGAAGTCATTCCTCGAAAGCGGGCGCTCATGGTGAAACCGACGGTTTCGAGGTTATCCGCGACGCCCACCACCCGAGGTGCACAACCATGCTACTAACCGCCTGGTCTTCGCCTCTGAGACGGGCAAAGCAGTCAGTCCGCTCACCCGACGCCAGGCCGGGAGCGCGTTTAGCCGACGCGCGGGAATTCCAAGCGTCTGAAGCGCTGAGTACGTCTTCAGCTTCACCCCAAAGGTTTACATCATGTACGGCCAGGACATGCCAGGAGAGCACCCTGAGCACCCTTCCACTCAAGTTTCTGAGACCTGCATGGCAGTGAGGGGACTGGTCTACCACTGGGATGTCTAGGGGGGTGTCTATTAATGGCCCCTTATGACATAGAGATTAAGGGGTTGAAGCATGCTGAAGCACCCCCTTGTTTGCCACCTTAACCTTCTCAGGCTTCACCTCCAAGTGCACGACCTACTCACCGCCCCACCAGCCCGGACCTCGCGCGCTCGTGGGGGGTGCCGTTGTGGGCACCGAGCTCCCCTTTGACTCTGGGGCCAAGTCCCGCAAGCAAAGCGAAGAACACGCCGGAACACCGATCCGAAACCCACCGAAACAGGGCCGCGGCTTTTCCGTGGGCCGCTTCGCCGCTTTCGGCTGACCTTTGGGGGGGCCGCCGACCCTTCGTGGACGGCCGAAAACGGAGCGTTTTGGTAGCTCGCGAGGTGGATAACTTCAAGGTGATGCCTGCCCTGACCGACTCTGAGGTGCCGGCCCATCGGGATCGTGGCGGGAAGGAAGTCGGAATGGGTGCATGTAGGCGTACGCACCAAGACTTTCAGTACGTGACCCTTTGATATCCCAGGATGAGGTCACTTGGGTCTGTATAAGGTCACTTAGAAAGGCAAAGAGGTTAGTAGGGTCCTGGCATATACAGATTCAAGACTGTATACGGTTAATTTTTCGATTTTCATCGGCTTTCCATTGCAGTCCCACCGGTTGTGTTTGGGGTCAGATGTCCACAAGTCTTCCAAAACTCCTCGGGATGGGTTTCTCAAAACCCTAAAAGGAAAACACCGAAATGATCCGAAATGCCCTGTTCATGGCCCCTATACCAGCACCCTCCAACAGGTCACCAATTGAAACCTGTTAGAGCCTAACAACCCTCCAAAATCCTCCAAAGGAGACCTGTTGGAGGGTGCTGGTATACTTAGGTAACTATATACCACTAGGTATATTACTGTGCGTGTTTTCTTCTCCCTTTTGATCCCTTTGTTGCCCCGGTCACGCCGGTCGGATCTTCACAGGAGTGGGTCAGCTTCTTGGATTGGAACCGAACGGGCCACCTGGACCTTCAGAAGGCGTGGGAATGGCCGGACCACGGACCCGCCATGGACCCGGGGACCGGACCTGCAAGGAGGACCGGAAAACCTTCGTTCGAAGATCGCTTTGGACCAACATTCCCTTTGCCTTCAAGACATGGAAGTGAAACGACAGACTTGTTGATCTACACCAGCATCCTCACTGCCAAGTCTCCTAGAAGGTTGGGCTCTAACCGGTCAAATCATTGGTGGATTCTTGTTGAGGTGGATTCTTGTTGAACGAGACTTTCGAAGATTTTGAGTGCTCAATGAGCAAACGAGTGCTCTGGGTGTCCCCGGGTGTCCCCCCACTTTGTCGCGACGATAGGAGCCACTTTTGGGCTCTTTTTGGATGGGGGACTTGGGCAGGTTCCCGGCTGAGCCTCTTTGAGCCTCTCTAAGTCTGAGTGCCCAAAAAGGCGACATGAAGAGATTCCTCATGGTTCCTTGCTTTTGGTGTATTGAAGTGTATTGGTCTGAAACGAAATGATGTCCAATAATCGTGTCATTTGAAAGGGTCATTTTGTTTGTTTTACATGAACCCTGGGATTCCTACCATTATTTCAATGGTCTTGACCCAAGAACCCACGAAATTACGGAGCCAGGTCAACAATTCTTCTACAATTGTCTTTAAAGGCTAGGGTACAAGAGGAATCAACCCTCCCGTACCCCTACCAGGGCAGGATTTACATCTCCATACTATGGCGAGTTCTTCTTAGGGTGATTGTTTACTGATTGTTTTTTAAAACTACATATTAAGTTCTTCAGCCTGTTTCGACAATTTTGGACGTTGTTTTGCATAGGTTTGATTTGTGTTCTTTTCGCAGGGCCTCTTTCAAGAAGCCTGAACTCGGATTGCATCACGGCTTGGGGGCCACTCAGTGTGGTCTTCCCCGAAACCTAGTCACGAGAGCTAGGGAACTCATGGGGAATTTTCTGAAGAGAAGGCCAGCGAGGTCTCGTCAAGACCTTCCTCACCCCTTGGTCTTTAGTTAGCTTTGAGAAGACCGGACCTGGCGCATGTGCTGCACCGCTCACGCCGTGCACGATGCGCCGCAAGACTTGCAAGTTGGTCAGGAATAAACACATATTAAGTTACTTTTCTTCCTCCGTTGACGCTCCATATTGCAGGTAACCCACCCCTGGCATCGTCAGGTCTGCCCGTCGACCACGTGACAACGGGGAAAACCACCCCGCCGTGCGAAGCACTTCGCACGGCTGCGTGGCTCCAGGTGTGTTTCGCGGTCGCAGCTTTGCTTCCGGCCGGGGGTCGCAGAATCTGCGTCGGAATCCGTTTTGCCGAGCGGAGAGGTTGGGAGGATGGAACCGAACAAGGAAGGTCGTTTTGCAGGGATGGAATCCATGTTGAATCCTTGAATCTATGGGAATCCAGGAATCCATATTTGAATCCACAGTACATCATACATGATGTGGGAAATCATTGGAATCATCATGCACCCTCAAATCACACTGCGTAACGCTCTTCGATGGTGCCTTGCTACATATAGGGGCCCCTATCATACCCCATCCTCTAAACGCCTTGATTTTTGCCCAGCATTCCATGTGTGGAGTATTTTTGACCCATCATGAACCCAAAACACATCCGAACAAACCACCCTAATCTATAGGCAAATTTGAACAGTTCGACTCCTTCCACAGGCGTTGGAAGGAATGGACCGGCAGTTGTGTCGCAGCCGGGTCCCTTCAGTGACCCTGTGACACTCATCTGGATGTGTACCCAGCCCTTCACAGCCCTTCATAGCCCCTAAAAAACAACCGGATGTGAGACCGCAGACCGGGTCCCGATCGAGAAATTCAGGGGGGTAGACCCCGAGATCGACACGGAAGTGGAGTGGTTTCTGGAATCGGAAAGTGAGTTCACCACCGCGCCCTGCATTTTTCAGGGTCATGAACGAGTCATTTGCGTGAAAACCACATCACCATGTTTTTTTTCTGTTCGTCAGATGACTCGATCCTCTTTTCTTTCGGACGAGTCATCCGTGAAGTCCACAAAGAAGGATTCTTTTCGGAGGGGTCCTTGGACACGTTCTTCCATGTTCTTTCCATGTTTGACCAGAAGCCTCCATGGTTTGCTTCGAGGCGCGGCACGCTTCTCCACACTCAGAATCCCTGTGAAATCCCTAAAACCTGCGACTGAAGATTCTCACTCATGTACCTGTTCTTTGAAGTTCTTTGATTTTATGATAGTTTGTACATGTGCTGCTAGGCAAAGTATGGGTCTTTACGGGCAGGAATTCCGTTTGGTGATCGTCGAACTCGGACCTTCCAAGTCCGGTGGTTATTCTGGACCCCATATCGGTGTTTTCTGGAGACCTGTCACCGGGAAACATGAATGAAAAGCTCGATGTTCATCGAACATCTCCTAACATCAGGCTGTTCACCGGTCAAACGACGACCGATGAGGAAGCTGCATCCAAAAACTCATCGTTTTTGAGGGAAATCACCCAAAAGTGCCTAGGATCTTCGAGGCCTCAATTATTGGAGGCACTTTTCAGTGAAAAGACATCACATGACTTCATATGAAACTTGATGTATTCAAACAGAAGGTCAAAACACTTCAAAACATGTCAAAACACTTCAATGCCTGTTTCATCCTTTTTTTCCCCGGCAATGTCAACACTTCAGGGTCCGGAGAGTCCGAAAAAAGGACCGTTCCGGGAGCAGCCCGACCGTTCTGCCGGGTTCGCCGGGCGTTTAGGAGGACGCTGTGTCCTCCTCACCGGCTGTCCTGAAAAGTCATGGATGTGTGCCTTTTTAACTTGAACCAAGAAGCAAAACAAACATACATATCCAATCTATGATCAATCTATACATGCAACAATTGCAAAGAGAGACTCCAAATCCATCAGCATGTGAGGCAACTGAGAGGCAACCTTTATCCAAATCCATCTTACTCAAGCCCTTGGTTTCCAAAGTGTATGACATCGATGTAAGGGCCATCCAAAAAAGAATAGCGCACCAGACCAGATTCGACCTGCCAAAAAGGCAAGGCGTTTTTTTCTGTGTGCATCGGAAGGCAAGAAAGCAACCAAGGAAGGTGACCTGCCTCGTCTGGCGACGAGAGACGGAGCAGACCTAGTGGCAGACCCAGGTCACCTCGGACTACAACGGCAATCATTCAGGTGTTGGAACATCAAGCAAGGCGTTTTGTGCTGCTTGATCAAAGGAGTTCCCCCAAAGATGATGTTTAGATCTTTTTAGGCCCCTATAAGTGAGCCCATTGCCAAACCTGGTCCTAAAAACCTCATAATTTCCTTTCACTAGTTTCCTCGCAGCTTTCCTTTGTGTGAGTACGGGACATTTCGACGTGGTGGAACAAAAGACCGTGTGTCTGACATGTTCTGACAAGCTTCCTCTTTGTGCTCCAGCAGCACTGAGGTGGATGACGCGTATGCGAGAAGGTTCGTTTTGCAGGCACACTGCGTGATGTCATCTCCTGTGTTCCGTGGTCGAAAAAACAATATCATTGGGTCAAGCATCAAGATCATCAAGATATTCACTTGATCTTGCCGTACGAATGTCTTGGGTCCCAAGAAGAGACCTGTAAAGCACCGCATCCAGATCCACATCCAGGCACCGCATGTCACCCGTGATTCACGACCCGACCGGCGTGGCCTCCACTGTGCCATGCGTCCAGGTCATGAACCTGCCTGAAGACTCAGAGGAGGCCCACGAAGTGAGCCAACAGGAGGCCGGTCGGAACGTGGGGCGAACGAGCAACATGGGGGGTGGACAAGGGCGGTTTTGGGTGCCAAGAAGGGGGAATATATAATATACAATGATATACAATATGGTGTGTTCCCTTAGCTTTATAATGCTTTAAGTCATATTTCATCATATTTCGACGTATACCCAGCGTGTTTGCGGAAAGACTTGTTCAAGTCCACCACCACCTGGCCACCGCGGGTTTGGGCGGTTTTCTCACTCGTGCTTAGTTAAAGACTGTCTACTGTCTACGAAGTCCCACCATCCTGGTCAGATTGCACGGAGTGATGGGGGGGTCAGATTGCATGGATTGATGTCAGACACCTGTCAGGTCCACTTAGTCGTTTTCAATCCAAACGAGGCGGAAACCCTCGGTGATCCGACCGACGGCAGGTGATCCAGACTCTGCTTCCGCAGATCCGACGGCAGCTGCGGCGCCTGGTGAAGACGCCACGGCCGCGGCCACCCGAGATCTGCCGCAACTCGGAGAAGGCGGGGAGCGGATGAGGGCGGAACGGGTGAGGCGGAAGGAAGTGGTGGAGAGGCGGAGAAAGTCGGCGCTCTTTTTAAACTGCTTAAGTTTCATATGTTAGTTTCCTATATTGCCACCCTTTGAGGTATGTAATCATAAATTAAGCTTGGTGTCCAGAAAACTCTGGTCGGGTCGGAACAACACCTGCGGGAATGCCAGACGCTTCATGTAGGCAAGTAGGACCAACATTCACTACCAAGAATCACCACATGCAGGCCATATATTTGCTTACATGGATCCTTTGGAAACTGTTGTCTTTTTGAGTTGTCCTTTGGATATTAGTGATTCGGTTTTGAGTTGTCATGTGTGAAATCCGAAGGTGGATCTTTTGCCTACATGTCGTAGTACTGAGAGTACGTATGTCTAGAACCTGTTATTGTCTTTTGTTTCTATTAGCAATGGCCTTCAACCTAATAGCAATGGCTTTCAACGTACAAGCCCTACAAGCAATGGCCTCCAACCTAGAAGCGATGGCCTCCAACCTAGGAGTGACATCAAGTCACAGGTGGTTTCAAATCTTTCGTTCGTTCGGTCACTCTTCTCACCCCCGAACCATCCGCGTCTTTCGGTCACCGTGTGGATGTAAGTTTGGTCACTCCTCCAATCACCCTGGCCAGCGATGCGGTGCCGGCTCGGTGTTCTCCTCGCTCCGATCTCGGAGCGTGCCAAGCAAAACCTGCCCGGTTCGTCGGACAGAGAGTACGGTCCTGAACACCTGGTCAGAGAGTGTTTTTGGACCCAGCGAAAAACATGCCGTCCTTGACCATATCCAAGCAGCGGTAATGTAATATCTTGAAGCAAACCCTATAGTACCAGAGACCATGAAATTCCATGTTTCACCACCTACAAAAAAACGGAGTGTGAGGAGTGTGAGCATGTTTCTTCCGACTCTTCAGTATTGTCTCATCATGTGCGTTGCCTCGGCGAGAGCTCCGTCTGGCAGGAGGAGCTCCTCGCATGGTTCCGCTTTTGGGACTCCAAGAAGGAAGGCGAAGAAGATCAGAGAAGCGCTTTGGGGTTCAAAGAGGTGATGTTTTCTTCTGCGAGGTTTGGAGCCTCGTGGGTGTTTTTGATGCTTTTGTGTGTGTGTGTGCGTTTTTGGAATGGAGGGTTGTAGGGACTTTATCTACAAAAGGAGGGTGGGCAGCAATAGGGAAGAACATGAATAATCAATCATAAACTATAACCAAGACCATCCTGTCGGGGTGTTCTGGCTGGACCCCACACTACCTAGGATGGCTTCCAGACAGGGCACCCCTTGAATGGTCCTGGTATATACCAGTTCTGCCAGTTCCATAGTCTTTTCATATCGGTGAGGTCACAGTTTGCCATGGTGCTTATGGCAGGTTCCAGGTGTCGGTATGGATCAGAGGCCAGCCCCTGAAGCATATGGATCAGAGATCATTAACAGCAGAGATCCTCAGCAAGACAACTAGAGACTTCGAGGTCATCACTTCGACCCCCGTGAGAAGGTGATATCATACGTAGTAGACATCTATGTCGACACATTCCATGAACAGATTGACTGAACAGTTGTCCATCCACTGGTGTGTCGACCGTAGTCCCACGCACGCGGGACCGCGGGACCACGCGCACAGGCCGCCTCGATACTTCCACGCTACAACTGGCGGTGGTTGCGACCTTCCACACAGCCTTGGCCAAGACGGCAGACGCGGCCACCAAGGCGAGACAACGAAAGAAGAGCCATGGTGGACAGCCTTTTCGACACGGTGCATGTTTCAAGACTAGTGTGAAATCGTTAGTAAACACGCGTTGGTTTGGTGAAAACCATGTTTAAATCAATTGCCGAAAGTTGCACAATGTTTCCAGAGTTCGATTCATGATCATTTCACAGCCCGTCTCTGAAATCCGACCTGGCTAAGCCATCGTACCATGCTTCTGGTCGTATAGGAAGAGTGGAACAAAAAGGCGAAGAACTTGATCTAACACCCAGACACTCCATGTATGCCATATATGCCTACATTCACCCCCAAAACCACCTCGTTGGATCTAACAGGTTGACCTCCATCGTTGGATCGTCGTTCTTCTTTTGTTTGGACCCACGCCTCTACAACCCTTTCCGCGCGCGCCAGGCGGCGATCGCACAATCCTTCTGCACCGAGATGGGCTTGAGGCGGGAGGGAACGGCCGTCGAAGAGGTGGATCTTCCATGTTTTGTTGGGCGGAGCTTCAGAAGTGTTGGAAGGCAAGCTGTTTTTTTGGTGTTTTTTTTTGTATTTTTTGGGAGGTGTCCGTGTTTGTATCTATTTGTTCAGATCGGTCTTATTGTGTAGTTTTTCCCTGTAATATGATGCGACCACGGATGGAGTTGACAGGCATGTGATTGGTGTGATTGATGGGTAATCCACCGCTTCCTTCGCGTTGCGAATGACGAACAGTCCTTCCAACCGTGGATTGGCAGGGAATGCGACCACGTCACAGAGGAGCAGTTCATGGAGAAAATGGTCTCTTGGCACAGAAACTGATCTGGTGAACTGATCTGGATACTTTGTGTATCAGGGTTGCAATGGTCTCTGGAAAACCACGTCCGCACTCCTGATTCTTCTTAGGTTTGCACCAATCACTCATTGGACCTGATTCTGTCACTTGCCAACTGAACTCATCTTTTGATATGTGTTGTTTTTACAGATCCTTTCCACCCTAGGGATCCACATCATGACCTTCTCAGCTTTCGCTTGCTGGACCCGACCCTGGACCCCACCTACCAACAGGGTGGACGACCAACCTTCCTGCTCACCGGTCCGTGATCAAACGGGTGCCTGGTTGGATCCCAGGCGGTCCCAACCCGGAGCTTCTTGGGTGACCAAAAAAATCAACTGCCCAAAGGGGGGGGGGTGCTGCAGCTTTTCGTGTTCTTCTTGGTTGTTTTCGTCTTCTGCTTGGTATGCCGGGCATTGCCCGACCGTCGTCCCCGGTCACTCCCATTCGCTCGAAAAAAGACCGCGGCTGCTTGTGTGCTTTGCCACCAACTCCTCTCTGTCGACCCTAAGACACAACCAGGATGTGCCAAATGGCTCTTGGAAAGGGACAGGGACCGATCCGGACCCAAACACCAACCCCCTCGTTCTCCCACCCCGATCCGCCCCGATTCCGCCAGCGTCTCGCGTCTCACGCACGCTCTGGCATCTCGCTGCATCGAGGCTCCGCACCTGGTCTCGAATTTGCCCGTGGCCATCGAGCGAAATACCCGCTCGAGCGGCTTTTTCGACCCCAAGTTGTCCTTAACGCCCCTTGTCGCTGAAGCTTTTAGTGATGGGGAGCCTTCAGGTGGGGGGCTCTGGGTAGGAGCTATTCAGAATCTCTTTTCAACTCCATTGTTAGCACCTGACAAGTTAATGAATAAAGGTTGTTGAGGCATCCAGCAGAGCTTTCTCTGCTGAATACTGAGATCTATAGTTTATAAGGCTTATCCTCCAAGCGAACAATCACTCGTCACTCGCCTATGGCCTACTGAGCTAGGGGATGTTCGCAAAAACATTTCTACCAACGTCCTTACTGTTCACGGCCTCAATCACATTCCATTCATTAATTCCATCATTCCAGGTGACCTGATAGGACCCTACTGGGGTACCTATGGGATAGTCTATAGGGTCCTTCAACCTCTGTTAGTATGTATTCGCTTCAATCTTACTCCCTTAAAGATCTCTGGATGCACTTGTGGTTCCCTTCAAAAAACACCTTGCTTCTCTTGCCAGATGAGAAAAGAAATGACAAATATATACCAGCAAATACCAGCAATATGATGCAGAGACACCTTCTTATCCTTAAGCCAGTTGTTGCAATGGATGCTTTTGCTATCATTTACTGCCCGTGTTCAGAAACCATTTTGGACAGTTAGAGAACCTGGTGTCTTCCAACCTTCTTCAGGACCTCTTCTTTGGATGCAGAGTGTCCCCATTGCCAACATCGCAAACGCAGCAACATCACTCCGCCCAGGCTCCACTTGAGGGATATGAAATCGGGCGCAGAACGTCCCTTGTACTTTGAGACTGCCGGAGAGGTCGGATAGGGGCGGGACGATGACAGGGGATGGAGGATGGAGGATGGATGGCGATGACAGGGAATGAGGGAATGAGCTCTATAAGTCTGAAAGGATCCAGCTCCCCCTAGTGAGTGCTCACCCTCATTTGTCTACGAGTCGCACTATTTGCCAAGTTTGGGGTTGGATTACCAGCCAAAGCTGGACCTGAAGGGAACAGGGTTCTGGGCTCTGCAGAGATGGAAGGGAGATCCAGTCCAACATTCTGAGCAGAATGTGTCGCCAGTCGACTCGACTGTCTTGGAACACCTCACAACTTCAGTTGGTGATTGATTCATAATATATCATAATATGATCTGTCATATTTTGAATACACATATATACATTGTAAAACATGTTTTTCTGTTGGTATATTGTTGGCTTTTCTTTTGTTTGGTGGACTCTCATGAGTCATGGAAGCGGTGCAGTTCAAGAAGACTCGGTCTCGCTCTTGAAGTGTCGCTCTATTGGGGAGAGGATCGATTCGATCATCTAGAATCATCTATATCTATGACATATATGATACGTTTTCATGACTGATCTATGCTCCTGATGCATTTTTTTTTGGTTTAAGCGCCTCCTCAGGTTTTGTGCTCCGTCCTTAGACCCCTCAGGTCGCCACCCCAGGACTTCGCCCCCGGTCGCCCCGCAGGTGACGGTGAAGGATCTGAAAGCTGCCACCCTGCGCCGGGAGCTCACCCGGTGGGGGTGGCGTTTCTTCCGCTTTCACTGGAGGGAACAAAACCATGAATTGTGGTCCGTTTTTCCAAACGAAGGACCGAATCAATATCGGTTTGGTGATGTTCTTTCTTATTTTTTTTTGTGCCCTTTTATTCCCGAATGCGTAGCGAAGGGTTCTCGTTTAACTCTTGGGGGTCTGGGGGTAGAGCCTTGTTCGCGATCCGTTGTTTCTACGTCCGCAACCGTCCGCAACCGTTCGCAGTAGAGCGCTAAGGCGCTGCCATTGGGGGAAGCTTTTGCAAGTGACTTTTCATGGATGTGTCACGTGTCAGTTTGCGACGCTATTCCATTGTGATTTGCATGAAAATGACACGTCGCGCAAGAAGCGTGATGCACTTCGCTGCACAGGCGCAGCGTTTTGTGAGATCCGCAGGTTGCTGCGCAGTTCCATTGGGATTAGCGTTTGGAGAGTCGTGTTCTTGGGGTGTTGGACATGGCCGTGCCATTGGGATTTGCGTTTCAGGGTGTGGCATCGAAGCTCTGTTTTCGTGACAAGTCTCAGCTGAAATGCCGATTTTGGTGGATGGGAGTGTGCTCAGAACGCGTCGAAATCATTCCAAACGTGTGGTGTGGTGCAAATTTTGTTGAAGCTGACATGAGATGATATTGTCACTTTTCGTGGCAGGCGCAGTACTTTGTGTGGGTTTTGAGGCGTGGAAGTGCAGGCGCAGGGAATGGTGAGGTTGCGAGGTGTGACGGAGGTGACATTTCGTGGCAGGCGCAGTACTTTGTGCGCATTAGACATGTGGATGGAGAAAGATTCGTGGCAGGCGCAGGGAATTGTGAGGTCGTGAGTTGTGGTAGA